TCCCGCGCTGGCTCAGCGAACCTCCTGCGAAGCACGTTTAGGGGGCACTGTAGAGCAGACAAATACCTGATTTGATTCTGGCAGTGAGTTCAACGATCGCTACTGACATGGAGAGTAACAATTGGAAAGTGAAGTCTGCACTCCTCTGGGGAATTCTAAATGGATCGTTTATGAGAACCTGCCTGACTAATCGGCCTATAGGATAGAATTTGTGGATTAAATGTTACAGTACACTGAACAGACAATTTGAACCCAATTGTATACGCCACGGAACATATGATCTGAATTTTACAGCTTGGAGAGCAGGATATTATACTGCGCTAAAACTTCACCGTTGTTGCCGCGGGTTTTAGTGCCACCCAACTATAATGACAATTTCCGACTTAATCAAAGGGCGCAGAGATATAAGTTAACGGGTGATACAAAAAGTTGTTTTTCCGGTGTTAACAAATGTCTTGATCTACATTGTGGGTCTTGGGTAGTAAGTGGACAGAAACGTACGTCTTCTGAATCTTTCGCCGCGGATGCATTCAAGGACTCGAGCTTCAGCTTTACAGATGCTAAGTGAGACTCTACTTGCTTTTGATTATCCGAGGCCTTTGAGTACTCGGAAGTAAGAATATTGATTTTCTCTCGGTACTCCGTTGTCTTCGTTCGTTGGCCCTCAACCACAACTCTCAGAGCCGAAATTCTGTTGGCGTAGGCTTGAGCTACATCCGCCGATTGTACTGTGTCATCAATGACCTACAATAACGTTTTAATAACATTTCTGTTGGCCCGGTAACCAACCCTTGACGCAATATCCCCAATTTTAGTAGTTGTTCTAATGAATTCAATGTAGTACGATAGCATTCTTAGCCATTTTCTTGGTTCTCGGTCATCGGATATATCCGCCAATCCAATTGGTGCGTCATAACCCATTTTACGAAAAGCTGACGACAGAAGAGTGAAGTAGTTCAAGCGCCACTCGGGGCTAACCGACATTCCCAAGACGCCGCACAAGATTCCGCACATAATCTCGTCCAGCTTGGCAGCTAAATTACAAATATTAATGGGGAAAGGACGGTACGGATGGTTAAATCTTGAGGTCTTATTCGTTTCTGGAGAGTTAATGAGAGATTTTCCGCTATCTCGTTCGCGGATAGAACCGAAAAAGCTGGAACAATAATCGATTAATAGATTTTTACCTAACGAAGCCGTAACAACATTGCCCTCCATTGTATAGCCCAAAAAATCAGAGTTGGCGTTTGTTAAGACGGTTTATTTTTCGGCATGACTAAACAAATGTTAAATCGCCAGGCCCACACAACTTTAGCAACTCGATCAGACCACGTTTTCTACCAACATGAACAGAAATAAGCAATGAACACTCCAGTATATTCATGTGAAAGAAAACGTTGTGCGCATGCTTGTAACATTTGCAGGGGCGAATTCGCTCGCGGAATATGTTCGTTTAGTTCAGTTCATTCAGAGAAATATGCACAAAATCTGACTCCCTATTGAATTCAAACCTTAGTATCATAGACGCAGCACAAACCTTTCGGTGTCAGCTTCTGCAAATGAGGTGACATTTTTGTACCTTAACGTATGAACCTCCTGTTCATCCTTTCCGTGATTTAAAAGAACACTAATATTTATGAACTCTATCACAGCCAGCATTTATAAAGATTAATTTCAGATCAGTTTATTGAGACCAACAGACCTGGCACCTTGAGTTCTCTATTTGTGACGCAAAACTGACTACCTTGTACAAAGAAACTATCTGGGTTGCAATAATTCAAAGGTATCCATAAAATATAGCAAATGGGCGAGAGTTTCAAAAGCGAACTGATGCCCCTCCTGACTGTGGCTCATTTTGGAAGATAATTTTGTCAAACTTCCTTTTAAAACTTTCCAGCGATGGCGACATCACAGAATATGCATGGAGAGTATTCCATCTCTTGACCACTACGACAGAAAAGGAGAGCTTGGGATCTTCCAGCTTTGCCTGCTTAACGCGCATTTTTAATGGGTAATCTCGGAGATTGGTTGTGATAGGGAAGTAAAAAATTCCTCAAAGACCAAGCAACAAGCCCTTCAAAATACAGAATGCACGAAGGAAATCCCCGTCCATTTCCCCGTAACTCAAGGCAAATAGACAAATTCTCGAGAATCTCCTATGGGCATTCCCCATTGTGAGGGGATTGGATTCTAAATTATAGACATAGCTTAAAAGCTGGTCAAGAACCCTTGCCGATGCAGAATTATTAACTCACGGGCTTCCATTAGCCTCCATGGAAGAATCTGATGATATCAAGCTCCCTTCTGGTGCGAGGCTGATGTGCACACAACATTAGGAAAAAGTGACCTGGAAAGCAGATAGCATCATGCACTGGTGTGTTGTGTTTTATTAACTTCCATGCAAACTTTTGGAGTAGTTGGAAGAGTACAGGTGATTCATCCGTGGGGCAATTTATCAAAGGATTTATCTTGATCCACCGACAGATGTCCATTAAGGAGGGAAGGCAATTTATTTATCAAAGACCTGTGGCATGTTTCAAATGAGTGATCGGGTAGTATTTCAAGTACTTAAGCTGTTTTTTTATGCATACCGCAATATTTATGAATGTTATAGCATGAGCCAGTTTTAAAACTGGAATTATAATAGAATTTTTCCAATAATCAGGAAAGAAACTGTTCTGGAAGAATAGTTTGTTTAGTAAAGTTAGGAAATTTCTTAACTGTTTAATAAGTGAGTTTGGAATGTTATCAGATCCTACCGGCTGCCAATAATTACTTATTTCTATTTGAGTATATTTAGGCGAGAAATTAATGGCTGTGATAGACGAAGTAGACAACAGAGGAATAAAGGTAATGGAAATAATTTCATGGGTAAAGTGCACTTTACTCTTGAAACTAGTCCATGTTTTGCAAAGAATGAATTTATCTATTCTGTCTTACCCAAATCCTCTGTAAGGAAATGTTTGCTATAATCGAGTATGGGCGGAATAACTTTATGAAACTTAGCAGACGACCGAGGCCGGACGACTCGAACAGAACATCTGGCAGAATTAGCATTACCATGTTCCAGGTACCCCGTACGCCTTCTTTGCAAGAGCATAAAGTTTGATGCTAATTCATGCTCCCGAGTCAAGTTGTGCGCGAGTCGGATCGTTTCCTAGACGTCTATGACGTAGTTATATGACATATAAATACCCGGGCATACAGTGGAAACTGGGAGTTAGTGAGCAAATTAAACTGCCGTCCGGTCGACGTCAAGAAGGCTGCATATTCAGTGGAGACAGGATCGCCACCCCTACAGGTCATCATTACGAACAGTAGTCGGAACTCCCACTTATGGGGATAATAGTCCTCCGCGCAAGACTCCAACAAGATACTGACTTTACCGTTCGCACGTTTCACCTGTCCAATGCCCTCGGCATATACGGGAATTGTACGTATTAGTAACCGCGACGTTTTCATGCTTCTACCTCTGTTATGCGCAGTTAGGTATCATCAGTTTTACTCGGTAAAGTTAATAACAATGTGAAATAAGCTACCCAGAGTTATCCAAAATTCTGCAAATTTATCCTCTGTTTAAGAGAACTACCATTTATATTCAACACGCCAAACGTCTTCAACCATCTTGTAAATAGCCACTTACTCAGAAAAGCCGCTAGACCATGGCCCTGTGGCCTAACGGATAAGG